CACCCACACCCGCACCCACACCCACACCCACACCCACACACCCACACCCACACCACACCCACACCCACACCCACACACCCACACCCACACACCCACACACCCACACCCTTTTGTTTCTTTTCCATTGATTGAAGATACACAGTTTTCTTTTCTTTCGACCGCTGTCTTTATTCTGAATGACTTATTATCTTTTCGCCCGTTTATTTTTTGTGCTTTATTATGTTTGTGGAAACATATTTTTTATTGGTGAGAAAGTCTGTTACAGGCATGTCGCTTACATGCCTTTACATCACTTCAGTTATTCGTGTCAATTTTCGATCTATTTCTCTTTCTCTTTCTCTGTTTTTCTTCACGCCTTAATACGTTTGTAGAGACATTCGAGTTGAACGGCTCATACAAAACAGTCGAACAAAGGAACCTCTAACAAGCAGTAAAACGCTAACTCTATTATTCTTATGTTCTAATGTTGTTTTATATTTTCTAGTAATATTTTCATTATTCCTTTTCACTACATTTAGCATTTATTATATTATTTATTGGGTGAGCATTTTTTGTCACAAAAAATATGGTTGTGAGTGCGGATGAAGAGAAGAACCACCCGTACATCCTGTTTTTCAACATCTACGAAATCATTGTGATATTTATGAAATGGTTAAAATAATCATGAAATAGTGGAAGAAATATGTCATATAGTTTAAACGGCTATTAGTTTATGACCTGCTATGAGTTTTATTTGTAGCCAGGAACTTTTTAATTGTCATGGCATGTGAAAATGACTGCAGAGTGTTCAATAAATTCGCAAACTGTGAATAGCTATAATAAATTTAAATACATATAGGATATGTGAATAGCCATAGAAAACTTCAAGTAGCTAATATTAAGTAGGTGTATGATCATTAAGTAGCTGTAAATTAGTTAAGTAACTATAAGAAACTATTAAGCATGCACAGATTGATTAAGTACCTATAGGTTGATTCAGTAGCTATTAACTTTTTCTCCAAAAGTATCTCTTTTGAGAAACTACGGTTGTTGCCTTCATCGATGCATCCATCTATTTCCTGATACTGTAATTCATCATTTACAATTTTTTGTTGTTGTAAATGAAAAAAGTCGAAGATGAGATATTGAATGAACTCATTTCTTGCATCAACATACCAAGAGTTGCTCACATTGACGCAATCATACATTTATTTCATACAGATATTTTGGCTTTTTGCAACTTTTTCAGTTCTATGCCTGCAACTAAAACTTGTGGATGTCGTCCAGATTCTCTGGTAGTTTATTTATGAAACTGCAGTATGAATAAATTTTGAAGTTTTCAAAAATGGAAACTAAAATAATGTACGATTAATATATATTCTTTTGTCTGTTAATGATAAATGTCTGCAGATGATATATGAAAGAAGCATAAGCATAGTTCATCTTATGAAGCTGGTGGTGATGAAACAAACTTGCCACTGAATAAAACAATATTTTGTCGACTTTCACGAATGAAAAATAAAAACGGTCGATCAGCTTTGAACTCAATCGGCTCTTCTTTCTCCTGGATGAATGCACAACAACGGGTCATGATAACAGCTGTAGCTGCTGCTGCTTCTGATCCTAAATAAAATTACGAAAAAAAATAAATAAAAAGTAGAATGTTCAACTATGACATAACATCGATATCAAGCATTTATCGGAAACTTTATTAATTCTTCATGTCAACATATAAAAAGGATGGACTTAATTTTTGCGAATATTTTTCTAATTAACTTACTTGAGCGAACCTAACTAATGTCGGCACCAGAATGAAAGAGGGGTGGATATAAATTGAATAACTTAACAATGGCAAGAGCTACTGAGCTGCGGTTTTCACCAATCGAAAGAAGAGGAGTAAGCACGTCTTTTTCTCTGATAATGTATAAGACGAAATCCTTTTAAAGCTAATCATACTCGAAAAACCTAAAAAAGAATCCATGAAATGACCTGGCAGCTGGATGAAATTTTAATTTTGACCTTTTATTTAGATAGAGGGACTTCAGATCTATACATAGGCGGCGGAGCCACGAGGCCTGGGTAGGCACGAGCCTACCCTAGATTGGAGTAGGGTAGGCTTGGGTAGGCTCAGGTAAAGGCTTGGGTAGGCTCAGATAAAGGCTTGGGTAGGCTCGAACCAGTACAGATAAAGGCTTGACTAGGTTCGATTTAATGTAAAAATTTTCTAATATTAGATTTTCATGTTCTTCTGATACATGACGCGTTATTACAAGGTCAGTCCACATTTTATCCATTACAAACTCGCGCCCAGTGGCATACCGATTGGTTTCATTGACGTCTATATCTACGTCGAATTCTTTATTTTCAATATAAGATAATTAAACTTTTCTGCTAAACTTCTATTCAAAATAACTTTTGAATTTTAAGTAATTAAAGAACAATACTCTTCCATAGGCGGTGAAGCCATTAGGCTTGGGTAGGCTCAAGTCTACCCTAGGCTGGCGGAGGGTAAGCTTGAGTAGGCTCAAACTTGGACAGATCAAGGCTTTGGTAGGATCTATTAAATGTAAGGCTTTTCTATTATTATTTATTTTTCAAGTTTTTCTGGCAGATAACACATTGTTACAGAGTCAGCGTCAGTCCTAGACGGCAGAGCCATTAGGCTTGAGTAGGCGAAAGCTCATCAAGATTCAAGTTTCATGGGCTAAGAGAGGCTCAAACATTTGTTTCTCACTGTACCAGATTAACAGACTACCTACTGTTTGAAAATTTTTGCTGTCATCACCAGTAACTGCTAACTTTTTTAGGAAAAAAAACTAACGAGAGAACCTCCCCCGGTGTAACCCTCAGATTTCAATGATTTTTTGTCCACAGATACTACATAGTGCCCTACTAAAAACCCTAAAAGGATTTGGGTTCAGGGCCCTTTCTTCAAAATTTATGGATATTTGAATTTCGCTTCTATATGGGTCATAATATACAATATTAAAAAGTCAGCAATTTTATGAAAATACGATAGAAAAACGAATTTGTTTTTTTTTGAGAGCATTCTTAGATATTTGTTGTACTCATGAGAAATGTTAATCTTTTAGTTCTTCATATTATCGAGCTATAGAATTTCTGATTCGTGAAAAGAAAATCACATATTTATAGAGAGTGATAGTAAACCCCCCCCAGAATAAAAGGCCATGGCCTTCTATTATGGAAATTCACATCGCTCTTTTCAGGGTGGCCTTCTATTAGGGGTGGCCTTCTAATAGGACTTTTATGGTAAAAAATTACAATTTTTTTTTGTTAGTTGCTGATTCTGTTTTTCTAGCTCGACAACTGAAAATTGAAATTTGTTTAGACTTTTTGAGCTAATGCTACCCATGTAGCCGATTTTATGAAATAATGGGCATTGCAATGCATTATTTTACAATAGAAATGCAATGGATGCAATTACATGATAATGCAACCTATTTCATGCATTATAATGCATTATTTTTAATTAATCCATTGCAATACATTGATTTATCAACGCATCATAATGCATTTTTTTTTATAATAATGCATTACAATGCATTGAAAATTTAGGCATTATCCTTCATTTTCAGCATTATTAGAAATAATGCATTGAAATGCATTGAAAAGTCAAAAAATAATTAATTATAATGCATTAATTCATGTTTTTCTTCAAAAAATGGAAAATAATGGATCATTTTTCATTATTCATCCATTATCGGCTACATGGGTATTATATTTAATCAACAAATATTAGTATACCTATCCGATGTCTGGCACCACAAATACTTCAAAGAACAAAAAAGTTTTTATATGTATTCAAAAGATATGTAATCGTACCAAAGCAAAAGAATTGAAGCGATAAAATAGGCATATTAAACTTTGTTTTGTTTTGACAGCTTTTGGAAATTGAACATACCTCTTTAAATTTATAGCAAAACCAAACAGGAGTGCGGTGGAGATCATACATGATCTCTCAAAATGCTAAGATATTTATAAAACTAGCACAGAATATTTATGTAATATCCAAACAATTCATTAGAAAGCCATGGCCTTCTAATGTGACTTTTGCAAATATGACTCAGGGGTGGCCTTCTAATGGGGGTGGCCTTCTATTCTGGGGGGGAGTTTACACGATGTGTTTGGTGAATTCAATACATAAAGAAATTAATGTTGGCGGAATAGTTAGACTTTTAATCTGAGGATCTGCATTAGAGCAGTGAATAGTATTCCTCTGTTATGCGAAGGTCTTTCATTCAATGATGATGTTTCTTTGTATTTGTTTTTTTTACTACTAATTTAAGGTTTTTTGTTAACTTTGTCTCTAGTTTATTGAAATTTTTTATAAAAACAAAAAAGCAAAGAAAATGTTTAAATGTATAAATTTTCAAAAGACAACAAAATCAGATACAATATTAAATAAAACTTTCTGACATCAATGAATATGATAGTCAATAAAAAAGAGTATGAATTGCAATTCATTATAGAATCAATGTTTTCAAATAACATTTTTGCTACTTCTTCATCTCTTCTTGTATTTACATGTGTCGAAGTTAATTTTAAACAATCAGAGATAAAATTTGACAAAATATAGACAACGCGGTATGGGTTTTTCATTATGTTTTCGGTAGAATAAGATTGTATTAAATGAAAGATAAAAATATGCCGATTATATGTAATTTTTTTGTTATATTATATGAAAAACAAACACGTGGAGTGTTCAATCAAATGTATTTATATGAAAATTACTAAATTAAGCACGTGGAGTGTTCAATCAAATGTATTTATATGAAAATTACTAAATTAAGCACGTGTAATCAATATTAACGGAAAAGAAGTTTCTTTTTAATAGGACAATGCGCTGTTGATTTTCTTCAAGCAAACCAAATTCTATAGCTCGATAATATGAAGCACTAAAAGATTAACATTTCTCATGAGTACAACAAATATCTAAGAATGCTCTCAAAAAAAAACAAATTCGTTTTTCTATCGTATTTTCATAAAATTGCTGATTTTTTAATATTGTATATTATGACCCATATAGAAGCGAAATTCAAATATCCATAAATTTTGAAGAAAGGGCCATGAACCCAAATCCTTTTAGGGTTTTTAGTAGGGCACTATGTAGTATCTGTGGACAAAAATTCATTGAAATCTGAGGGTTACATCTGGAGAGGTTCTCTCGTAAGTTTCGTATGACTAAGTATTGCAACTAACATTGACAATGAGTTCATGTTATGCTCGTTTGTTACAAATGAAGAATACTCCTACAGGATACAGTCATATCTGCTGTACGATGTCCAAAATTCTCTCCCCTCTCTGCGATTAATCTCAGATGCCAATCAAATATTTTCAACAAACTGAACAAACTCATAATGAGATTCCTTTTCTGTGAGCACTGCTGTGTCTCCATAATTGTAGTTTCCAGTAATACAAATCACAAACTTTTTCCAAGATGCAATTCATCAAATAGGTTCAGAATCTAATCGACTCCGAGCCTGAGTCTGAAATCTTTCTGGTGACCACAGTCAGATCTGGATCCAGGTACAAGTCCTCGAATTCAGACCTGACGGGTTCTAGCTGCACGTAAGAGCCAGTTATAACTGGGTTATTACGAGATTACCGTTAAAATTGTTTGAAAAATGTGTAGGATGTGTTGGTCACCGAAAAATTAATCGAAAAAAATGTAGTATCTTTTAAATAATTATCAGATCGGGAGTAAAAAAATTGCATTGAGAGTGCGAGGATTACGAACCCGGCTTCGGATCCAAGAATTTTGCATCCGATGGACTATATCTGAAGCTCACTATTCAATCGAAAACAAAAGTTTAAGTGACTCTTTGAATACAAGTTTTTTGTCACAAGTTGTAAACTCATCACTGATCTGCACTAATGTTATGCATTAAAAAATTTGAGTTCGAAATAAACAGTATTAATTGTGTTTTATTTGAATGGTATAGCATAAAAATTACCTCCTCTATTTTTAACCTGTCGGTAAGGCTCCTATAAAAAATATTGAGCCTACCCTAGATTCAAACCGTTCCGCCGCCCCTGGATCTATAGTTCAAGACACAATGCGCTTTCTTACTTTTTCTTACATTTCCATTGAAATCTCAAGCTACTAGGATAAACAGTGGGAAAATTGCGAAAAAATCAGCAAAATGCCCTATTATTTGCGCATGTAAGTGCATGATCCCATTTGCTCAGCGTTAGAATATAATAAGACAACCATTTGTATTGTATTTTGAGCTATAGATCTGAAGTCTCTCTATCTAAATCAAAGGTCAAAATTAAAATTTCATCTAGCTGCCAGGTCATTTCATGGGTTCTTTTTCCAGATTTTTCGAATATGTTTAGTTTTAAAAGGATTTCGTCTTATACATTATCAGAAGAAAAGACGTGCCCACTCCTCTTCTTTCGATTGGTGAAAACCGCAGTTCGGCAGCTCTTGCCGTTGTTGAGTTATTAAATTTATATCCACCCCTCTTTCATTCTGGCGCCGACATTAGTTACAAGTTACATAGTAAGATTTCTCAAGAGCGTATTTCTGATTCTGTCTAATATTCTGAGATGAGATAAAAATTGAACACAGGATAGCCGTATCATAATCATTACAGAAAATCATATTAAGAATTTCTTGAAAGATCTTGGTGTCTTGTAAAATATCACTGTAACATTACAAGAAAATCTTTCTCTCAATAAAGTTTTTGAGAACTCAAATAGTAGGAGTTCATGTAAAACTTGAAAGAATACAATTATGTGTATAATATTCATAGAATTACGTCTGAATTTTTAGCAATAATAATATCACTGTTCAAGATTACATCAAGAGACATGTAGAAAAAATAATGATATATAGAATGAAGTTTTATTACCTCATCACGAAAGTCAGTATCCAATGATCTATGACAAAAAATTTTCTAAAAAATAGCCTTACATGCAGTAAGAACTGATGCTACTGATCCTTGTATAGAAGAAAAAAGAATAAAAAAATGGAAAACTTCTAATTTTCTAAGGTACTGGAAAATCAAAAGAATGCAATCAAACACATGCTTATGAACACGTCAATCAACTTACAGGTAAAGAGTACATTTTCAATGTGTTACATGATGTGATACATTAACATTTTCTATTTGTTCAGAGAAGAATTTCGATAAAACTCTTTAATCATTTCAGTCGTGTTTCGTTGAGTGATAAGTCCAGTATCGTAAAACTATCTCAAGAACATAATTTTGATGGCTCTTTCACGACAACTGACTTGTCATTCTTAGCCACTAATCACATAGAATAAGTTTAAGAAAACGACTGTCTTATGCTCTGAAGCCTAGCTTCGTTTTTAAAAAACGCAAATCAAAAAACGTTTAGATCCAAAACTTTTAGAAAATTTGAAATTACCCAATAAACTGTTTGACATAAATTTGAGAGATACGCTACGATAGCATCATCATATCAAGCTGAAAATTCGACTATAGTCTCTTTTCTAAATTCCTAATCAATCATGAAATCTTATGCACTTTGAATGTTTGTGATTCAAAAAAAAAACATTTGAATCAAGTTCAATGCCTTACGAATATAATAAAATCACCGTCATTGCTTCAGATTCTTTATCACATAGATGCAATAAATCAATTTCTTCACTCTCTTTCTCTCTCCTTATTAATCTTTATCAACAAAGTATTCTAGAAAAATATAGAGGCTTACCGAGTTCATTCACATCGATAAATGCTTTATGAATAACCTGCAATTTTATATTCAAAAAAAAAAAATTGCATTTGCTTATTTATAATTCTTCTACCTTGCTAATATATAAACCATTTTTATCGTCTTGTTCACTGACCATACCAGTAAAATCTGCTTTATTTCCATCAAATGCATTTGTCATTCCAAGTTGTACAAGAACATCATTTAATTCAAACTTAGCTTCCATTTTGAATTTTGGTATATATAAAAGAAGTTCTTTTATTGTTGTATTTTCATCACTTAACACTTGTTGCATTAAGTTTGGTTGTGATGTTAATTTTCGTTCAACTTCATCTAATGAAATACCTTGTTTTGGTAAAATTACAGTAAATACAAATTGAACATCAGAAATATCGCTTTTATAAGATAAATGAGCAATTTGTACATTTAAATCTTCATTTTCAGCATAATTAAACTTTTCTTTTTGATGCATTAGTTTTATTTTTGATATTTTACCGTCAGCTTCATGGAAATCAGCATTTTCATTTGTTAAATGTTCTTTGAATTGTTCTACCCATGTACCCTATTATTCATTCAATAAAGACAAAAGAGAAATTTCATTATTCTCATTAAAAACGAATATTTACCTTAAAATAAATACAATTCACAATAATTAATCGTGTATCGCGTGAAACATCATTTGTCGAAAGTAAATTTCGAATTAGTTTATTTGTTTGTTTTTCAACCCATGCATTGATTGTTTGAACAACATGTGCACTATTGTTTTCAAAATCTTCAAGTTTGATATCAGCTTTGAAAGAGGTTTGAACAAGACTTAAATAATTTTCTTGAAGTTTGTATGTTTTTTGTCCATAAAGGCGATTAGCTAGTTTAAGTTTAACTTGTGTATCATGATCAACAAGAGAAAAAATATGCATAACATTTTCAGCTGTTTTTGCTAAGTGTTCTATTGATGTTATATCAAAGACATGTAACATTTGATTGAGCGTTTCATTTCGAGCACCAGCTGCACACATGGCCATAGCAAGAGCAATACTCTTGCTGGTGAAAGAAATACATTTTGATTCTTGTTATTTTGACTAACAATTGAATAAACTTTGTGACAAAAATGTTCGAAATCTCTATTCGTTGACGATGATGTTGAAGCCATGTTCTTTTTGGTATGTATGAGAAAAAAAGAATGAAAAAAATAGGATGCTGTTGGTATTTTTATACCCTATTTTTCAAGGGTATGTTTACCTTTATTGTTTTTGTTCGACTCAGCATATAGAAAACAGCATAAGTGAAAATATTTTTCTTGTATGAATAATCTACTGAGTCAACAGTAAAGAACAGTAGAGAAATATCTTCATAACATCAAGAACGCTATTCATGTAGGACAACAAATGAAATAAGAGGGAAAAAATAGATGTCTATTATTTGGTAAATTTTTTTCTGCGTTGATAAAATTATTTGATAGGCCATGACAGCTGGTGATCATATGATTCGCATTCGTATCAAGAAGTGCATTGCTTTTATATGGTGAAATACCTTTTATCATTGGTTTTTTTAAAATTCTGATTAATTTCTAGATAGCCCGATATGATAACATTGAGTTTCTCGTACAAATTACCAAGTCAAATAAAAATATTATATAAGACTCAATCACCAATGGTTTATATTTTCTGACAGAACGAAGTACTGTCCTTTTAAAAAGATCTGAAAGTCTATTAATTTGATCAATAATAATGCATATTAATATTCAATTTACTCGTATATTCATGTCAGCAAAGGAAAAATTGAATGTTTTTAGCAATTTATTTTTATAAATTCAAGAGTGTTTTTTTAACGGCGATCAACCTGACTATAATTATTAAATTATTCAATGAATGTCCTTGTCTTTGGTTTATATCTTTTTGATAATAACAATCATTAAGCATGATCATTAATTTTTAATGATCATTAGTAAAAACAAGTATGCACAATTACGACCTAATTTCGACAGAAAAAACCGATATATGATTCAAAAACGAAATTACAATTAAAAACAATATTCTTCAATATATATACTTTGTTGTTGTTGTCTGTTGACTTGATATGTCATCATCGAATTAGGTGTCGAATTGAGCAAATTGATCGGTCAAAAATAAAATCAATGTATTATTGATAAAAATAATACTAATTACAGCAGCTTTAAGTTTCATAATATATTT